AATAATAATAATAATAATAATAACAATAATAATAATAAAAATAACAATCCCAAACCAAAATCCCACCTCAATTTCGCTGTCGGCGAACTAAAGAAGCACAACAATTTCGGTATCAGCACATCTAAATGTTCTTGTGGCGTCAACATATCAGCTGAATCCTCACAAATTTTCTGTATCGCTCCCATTGCACCCTTAAGGAATTCAAACAATATTAACAATAGAATACAACAATAACCATAACTATAATTTCTGGCGTTCCCATCTCTTACCCTACGGATGACCGGGGGGGTGGGGGGGGGTCGAACTCACGCCCTCTGAACAGATCAATCGAATCGAACTCACACCCTCTGAACAGATCAATCGAATCGAGCTCACGCCCTCTGAACAGATCAATCGCATCCCCAAAGCCCAGCATCCTCACACCACTACACTATCGGCCATTGCTCATTAATTTCTATTTGATTTAAGTACTATCTTCTTTCCGTTCAATCATCATCTTTATTCCGCACTCACCATCTGCAATGCCTCATTCTGATTCGCGTCCAGCATGCCACACAAACTCGGTATCAACTGTGGCCACTGCGCCAGTCCCTCGGTTATCACAATCGTTGTGATTATTATGCCAACCGTCGCACGAATCAACGCATGCTCATCGGATATCGATAGCAGTGTCTTTCGTCTGACGTACTCACGAATCTGCTCCGGTAGACGAGTCCACAGAATTCGGATCGAATTCTTTAGGATCAGTCCGGCTAGCGAGCGATTCGTCACCTCAAAAAATTATCCGTCCACTTACAATTAGAAAGTTTAATTGCCGTCGTGATCAGCTGCTCACTGTGCAATGCATTGCTAGATCAACTTAGATCAGACTGCCGAAATCAGATCAGGCTGATCAGGCCAAACGATACGACGAAATAAATTTTCCGCCCATCGTCACAGGTCGTGATCGGACAATCTGCCCAAAGACACTGCCTAACGGACAGTTTTTCAATGGATATTTTGCCTGATAGGCAAACTGTCCTTAGGCAGATTACCCTTGGGCAAAACGTCTTTAAGCAGCTTGCCCGGGTACCATTACACGTTACTGCTTGCATAACACAATAAATAAATAAACAAATACACAAATAAATAAATAAATAAATAAATAACTAAATAAATATAGAAATAAATAAACAATAAAAAGCGTACATGCTCTTCGTGCAGTTCACTCAATATGAACACCAAATAACAACAGAATTCCGGATGCATATTCAACTGATCAAGACGCTGCAAAAATTTTAATAATAATAATAATAACAAATATTCTTTAACTGAACTCAATTTCTTAAAAATTTCGTTACGCTTAATTTAAACGACAGAAGAATCTTTCTTCAATTTTGCTTTCTCCTTATTTCAAAATACATTTTTAATTTCTGCACTGCAAATCTG